CTGGGGGAGTGGGCAGGGCCACCGAGGTCCCCCTCATAGTCCTTCCCCTCCTCCAGCCCCCCAACCCCTTATAGCACTGGAGCCCTGGTGCTGAAGCAGCTGCCTGCCCTGCATGGGCAGCCCGTGTGTTTCAGCACCAGGGCGAGGGGCCAACTACAAAGATGCTCTGGCAGCCAGAGCATATCTGTGGAGGGCCCAGCCTCTGGTTACCTCACTTTTTTAAGCTTCATTTTTTTCAGACCCCTGGATATCCAGGGGTCTAATTTTCTCCCCACACTGCAAGTTTGCAACGCAGGAAACATTTTTTCAATCCTGCACATGCCTCTTGCCCTGTCTCAAAGGGGTTTGAGATGGAGCAAGAGGCATGTGCACACTTGTCTGGATGCACCCCATGTATCTACAGAACATTGCAGTAGGCAAACCGTAGCTGAGCAGGGGCCATGAACTTGACAGGATTAAAAAATGACTTGATACTTTATGAGTATCAAGAATACAAGCTATGGTAATTCATGATAAAACTAAATTGTGGAAGGGATATTAAACCTCATTTTTCAGGGATGAGCTTAGCTGCTAAAACTCAGGATGAGATCTGATGAGGAAAGGCAGATTACTTTACATCATCCTTCTGCAGGGTTGGGATGCATCTGGGGCTGGCCACGCTCAGAGGTAGGACACTGGACTAAATGGATCTCATGTCTGATCCAGCCTGGCAGTCCCCAAGTTCCTAAAGGAAGGAATGCTTTGTTTTTAAATGTGCGGTGACAGTATGTCTAGATTCTCTTGACAATGTATAAATTTAGCATTCTACTTCTGAATGAAGGGTATTTTTTGTTGACCAAATTAATGTTACATCAGCCTAACTGAATGAGGTTTGAATAAAATGAAGCAGGAAAAGAATGATAGATTAATTGATTCATATCATATTCATATTCATATTAGGAAGGAAAAATGTCCGGCACACCTACAGCCTAGGGAATGACCTGCTGGGTGGCACGGAAGTGGAAAGGGATCTTGGAGTCCTAGTGGACTCCAAGATGAACATGAGTTGGCAGTGTGACGAAGCCATCAGAAAAGCCAATGGCACTTTATCGTGCATCAGCAGATGCATGACGAATAGATCCAAGGAGGTGGTACTTCCCCTCTATCGGGCGCTGGTCAGACCGCAGTTGGAGTATTGCGTGCAATTCTGGGCGCCGTACTTCAAGAGGGATGTGGATAACCTGGAGAGAGTCCAGAGAAGGGCCACTCGTATGGTTAAGGGCTTGCAGACCAAGCCCTACGAGGAGAGACTAGAGAACCTGGACCTTTTCAGCCTCCGCAAGAGAAGATTGAGAGGCGACCTTGTGGCTGCCTATAAATTTATCATGGGGGCACAGAAGGGAATTGGTGAGGATTTATTCACCAAGGCGCCCCCAGGGGTTACAAGAAATAATGGCCACAAGCTAGCAAAGAGCAGATTTAGTTTGGACATTAGGAAGAACTTCTTCACAGTTCGAGTGGCCAAGGTCTGGAACAGGCTCCCAAGGGAGGTGGGGCTCTCCCCTACCCTGGGGGTCTTCAAGAGGAGGGTGGATAGGGAT